AAATAGAGAGGCTAACTTCGATTAAGGTAACTTCAACATCTGTGCCGTTTATTGATAAGAAACAAGTTACACACAGGTATCATCATGTGCAAATATCATGATTCTTTTATAAAAGTTTCTTTCACCTTCGTGTTCCGAATCTTTTCGAATAGTTCACAAACAACACCTAGTTCTTTACCGTTCTGTGATCTTTAAGACGATCTACTACAGTGCTGCAGCCCTACTTAGGTTTGCTAATAATATTTTGAAGTAATGACAATCGTTGTCTGAAGAATAAGGGTGGACTGAAATGCTTATATCTATATCAGTGAAGTTATGAAGTAGTAAATGACGCCGAAGGATGGACCCTGAAGCGCCTGCTCAAAGTTAGATATATATATATATGTATATAACTCACTATAATCTGGTCCGATTGGATCTAAAACTTTATTAAGAAAGCCTCCTTGAGGGCTTCAGATACAGATATTTTTTGGCTGGACCACTTTTTAATATTTGCGAATATTTTTCACTCTGTGGAAGTACTTGCCGCCATTGGTCTACTTTCAAATCTTATAATATATATCTATATATAATCTTCAAATCCTAACGAAAAAAACAAATTCAATTATACATACATTCGAAGGTGACTATCGATCTTTTTAGTTTAGATTTATATCATACTATCGAAGACGCTTGCGCTTTTTGGCCGGTCATGGGAAGAACATACGTAGAACTATGCAGTGGAGATAATTTCCAAATGACAGGCGCTTTCATGATATCCTCGAAAATCATTTTACCAAAGACCGCATAGCTGAATCTATCTACGGCATTTTTATTGAAATACATCATCGTGAGAATCGCTCGTGAAAGCAAATAATAAATTCTACCAATCTACTCCCCATAATATGATTTGAGCATTAGCTTATAACTTTATATATCTTTTATTTCACTCGACACTTTACCGATTCGCCCAACCAATATTAACAATGTGTCTAGTAGATTTTTCATACACCGCATAGATACACACAAAGCAATTTAGAGTCAACGCAGTGCCGCTTCGTTGTTCTGTTGTCATCGCCAAAAGTTACCATTGTCGCCAGCGCTCTAACGATGGAACACATTAAGGACAAGCTACAAAAGAGTTCCTAATAAAAAAAACACGGCGTTTTTTTCTGGATTTTTCGTATTCTGCTATCCTCCAATAGTAGTTTAATCTATTAGGGGTAGAGAGGATGGCAGAAACGCCGATGCCACGCAATTTCAGCAGTGATATTATCATGAAACGTACGTACGTACGTACATACATACTAGAACGTAGCACAGATTTTCGCCTCACAACTCAAGTTAGCCATAATAAGCAAACAGATCAGGCAGAGCCAAGTATTATTGTAAGGAAGTGCAGATCCAAACGTTGCCGTTCTACAAAATCACAGAGCTGACAGTCTATGAAGACCCTTTTGCGGTTATTGTCATTTTTTTTTATTTGATCGTTTTTTCGGTTTACTACTATTTCGTTAATGTGAAACGACACTTTATAAAAAGCGTCTGAATTGAGATCCACTATAGTCTCCAGTGTATGCCAGTAGGTGAAGGAATACGGCGCAAGTATAAGAACAGATTTACTTTCCCCTTTGTTGTAATTTGCCTGAACGTAGTGCTCATAGTGAAGCAAGCAATTTTGCGCTAGATAACGTCTCAGTCGAGACGTTCCATCGCTGAATAATGAAAATAACACCGTGTTCACAACACATTTTTTCGCATTATCACAAAAGAAATTTATATACAGCCAAAATATCGAACAAAAAGTTAGCATATCTTGCTCTGTAAAAATCTACTATATAATCTATTCGGTAACTAGAAAAAAACGATCGCTGCTTAGCTAGCTTCTCTATTAAAAGTACACACATAATGATTGTAAGTTAAAGAAATAGCCAAAGCGGAAGTGAAGTATTCCATAACGGCCTAAAAAATATTTGTCACTGGCAGTGTCTGCTGTCTGGCCAGTAGTAGGGTTTTTCGTTCTCGTTTTTCAAAGTTTGGCTTGATACACGTACGTCTCCTAGGTACAAGTCGAAGCTTCAACCAATGTGCTTCCTTGGAATCGATGTCAGAACGAACAGATCTTTGACTGTTTCCAACGCTGAAGCGTGTGCTGAACCCAGACTCGACCCAGAAGGCCATCTCTAACCCACATCTATGTATTGAACCGAGTAAAAATGTGACCTTGAGGTCAGGCATGTTCTTCGTTTAATTTATTTAATTACATGAAATTATAGCAAACTTTCTGAGTGGAAGCTGTGATATCGCTGCATCATGCAATAGACGATACAGTCCGAGACTTTCTCGCATGGGAAAACGAAATCTTTCGCACTCCTAACCAATAACATGACCAAAAATCTCGCGATCCTATTAGTAAGGACTAATAGTTTTTTTTCTTATTAGAAAATATTTATCGAAAAAAAAATGTTGAACAATAATGTTCGCTACGTGAGGCAAGTTAATACCCTAACTGACATTATTTCTGCTAGAAATTTTTATAGAGATCACTGATGCACTTTAATTCGGCTTAGCAAAATTTCCGCATAAATTTGCCCCATTCTGTAGCTTATTCGTGTGCGGCGTATTTCTCCAGACGATGATCTGTAGCAGCGTTACATGTGTCAAATACTAATTATAATGCCGCACTAATTTATCAATCAGATCAATCCAGCAATTATGAATCCAGTATTAATTCTATCATCAGTCTGTACGTCACGCGAGCGATATCATTGTATAGAAGTAGAAAGTAGTCGAGCGTTTTTGCCAATGAGGTACCTACTTTCCTCTTCCCGGCGAAATCTCAAACCGCATAAATATTCTTAATTTCAGGTTGTGCTAACCTAAAATATTACGTAAGAGAGCAGTATAGCATACTCTCAGCCTAGGTTTAGTGAGATCCACTACCGAGAAGTACCAGTCTGTGGGCCAGCCCCGTAGTGATGTCATGGGCTAACCGGGCAAGTGAAGTGATCGTTCTGCTGCGCTTAAAACGAGTCTTTTCTCACCCGTAAAATTTCACAGGCTATCTAAGGACAGCCGGATTCGAATGATGTTACATGCTACACTCTCATTTACTGCGGTCCTCTTTGAACATATAGAACGCTCGATAATGTTCGTACTTCGTAAGATGAGTTACAACACTGCGACAACAATAGGAAGGGCAACGTCTGTACAGAGGTTTTACACGATGTCTTTAGCTTCAGTCTTAATCCAGGGGAGATGTAGGGACATCGGAACAAAGCGATTTGGGCATAGTGCATTTGCCGTTTGTCAAGGTAATGCTGAGCTGCTATGTCCGACCATTACGGTCTGCTTGCATTTACGATCATGCCTATGACGTTGACTTTGTTGTGTAAAGCGTAGCTAACAAGAGTATCTCAACGTCAAACAATCATGTAAAGATGGCTGTACCCCGCTCTATTATGCTGATAACTAGCCGAGTAGCCGAAACATTGCTCACATGACTACATTACTATTAGTCACAATTCCTTCACTCAGATAAAATGTTTTCCTTATCCACTTCTGTTCCAAAACCCGAACAAATCGTGATCATTCTTTCTTATCGAATAGTTATGATGATCCAGATTTAACTCAGAGATCAGATAAAACATATCTGCTTACGTATACAGTCCTCGAACTTTATTTGTAGATGCAAAAGGGTAATTGAGTGTTATAACAATAATAAACTGATATGACAAAGAGCACGTATTTACATTGACACAAAAAAAAAAAGCTGTAATACTAATATTAACGATTGACTGAATAACAACAAGCACTCGGTATCTCTTTTTTACATTGGCTTGCATCAGCGCTACGTTAACGCGTGATCCAAAAGGAGCAGGATTTCATTTCCTGCTGCTGGCAAGTGAAGGATAAAAAGGTAGCGGTAGCAGTAAGGCTCTTTGTGGCTGTCAATGTTGAGGCAGTCGAAAAAGCAGACATCGAAGAATCACACCAGTCTTACTTTCTATAGCTTCTGCTGCTTATTATACCGTTTGGCTGCTGCTGTTCATGTTTAGTGTCTTCTGCGCCGTCTTGTCCTTTTTCCTCTTTTGGTTTTCTTTTAGAGGCGAAGATCCCCTTTGACGGGCCAACTAACGATCTGCCCGTTCCTGCTGTCTGTCTATTGCGCGTTCGATTCTATACGATAGCGTCAACACTATGGACGATGTAAGTACATCCAGATCAAAACCCAGAAGACTGACGTTGATTTTACTGCTTCTGAAGCAGCACGAGCAGCGGCAGCTCTGGTCCTAGCCTCCATGATGCTTCACCTGTTTTTTTTTGTCTACATGCATGGATATATGCAACCGTTTCGAAACACAACAACTATCAAACGGTTGTCTTCTGGTGGAGAATTTGGGGGTGATTTGAAATATTTAATAAATATATAATAAAACGAATATTAACATATACATGTACTTAACTGTTCGTACGCCGAAGCTATGGAAATATCAAAATATTATAAGTGCCCTTTACAGCCGCATACAGTACAGAAGGATTGGGTAACAATGCGAATGCTTATGGTTAACCTTAACAAAGTTTATGTATACTAGTTAAATAGGAAGCAACTATACAAAGCATATCCTAGGTGTAGTACTAAAGCGTCCCAAGGTGTTTCGGCATAGGAAAACTTTGAAAAAAACACATATACAGCAGATTTTGCTAGCCTACGACTAAGACCAGACACTTTGCTCTATTCGAATAGTACTTAGTACACACTGATGAGCCAAAATACATTTTATCTCTTGTCAGTTCGGTCATTGCCACACACATGCAATAAACCCTAGATTACTCGAGCGATTGACGTTTTCAATATCATTTCATCACCGGTACAAAGAAGCCAGGCTGTGGTACTATAACAAGGAAGTGTTACTCATGCTACTGGTTATACAAGTAAAACTCCATGCAACGATATCTTTGTACGGGCAATGATAAGGAATGCTAATCATTACGCGCGTGTTAAGAGTTCGCTATGCTACCTGTTAGATGTGCGAAGCCGTCACCAAGTAAACAGAAGTTGGTAATTTGTTGAGGAACAAAGTGCTCAGGGATTTCAGGAAAGTTGAGAGATGGAATTTCTCACAGTTCCCGTCACAAGCTGAAGAAGGATCCTGCGAAGATATTCGGAAGATTCTCACTTATTAAGGAGTACAGAGCTCCTTTGTCTCTTACTTGTCTATCCGATGAACAGCAGCTTTGCTTCGAGCAAGCGCCGCTTTTCGTTAGCTCCAAGACGAACACCTGCCTTCGATCAACATTGTAGACGTCAACGTATCCTTTCTAGCTACAATACAAGTTTTCCATTAAATCCATGGTTAGATTCTACTTTTCTGTCACTTTCCCTTTCTTTCCTCTAATATATTCCTGACACAGAAAGCACTTTAGCAAAAAACATCAAAATGAAAAAAGGCTCACAAACACTTCCTATAACAGTGTAACGCACCCTCGCTTGTGTTTACTATATCCGGGAAGCTGGGGGCACGCCTCACAAAACACTTCAAATCAACTTTCACACCGTTACCAGTCACGCTGACACCGACAAAACTGGTTCTCCTAATATCAGTAAGTGTCTCTAGTATAATTTGTTCGCTCCTCTGCTGGCTGCTGCCAATTCGGTCCTGCGCTGAAGTGCTCTCGTGTCACTTTTGCTTTAGGTCTACAAGGCGCTGCAACAATAACCACCTGTAACTCAGTTGAGCCGCCGAACAAACCGGCACCGATAGCCCTAGAGAGCCAAAACAGTAACAGTTCGTTTGGCATGGAGCGCTTTCTCTGAGTCCTAGACGAGTGCCACTGTGATCGCGTTGCAACATACAGCCTAGCGTGCAATCCCGATGTCCACGGATTAATGGCTGAATGATGGTCTACCGCGTCTACCCGTTGTTCGTACGAAGAGGTGGCGGCGACAACAGCAGCAGCAGCAGCACAAACAACACCCGACAATCAAACTGATATAATAGATACAAACTGGCAGACTAATGGTTCAGTATAGTCCTGGAGAACTTTTTGTCTAAGTAGTTTGCATTAGTTTTGTGTGTATGTTGTAGTTGACGTTATGTGGACCTCGCCTGCCGTCGTCAAGCACGAACAACCACACATATCGCCGTAGATACCTGTTAGAAGACAAACCAGGCCAAATCGGACAGAGTTTCTTTGTTTTCTTTTGTCCTCGTCGCTCCACTACGACCCAGCAAAGGCAGCGGAGTATAGCGCTGATTACAGCGGCCGACTTAGCGACCCATTCAACATGAGCTGTTCTAGCAGTACCATTATGACCACAGCACAGCGGAATACACCACCACGAGCGGCTGTCTATCTGTCTGATTCTGCTGTATCTTCTATCTATGCTTGGCCCTGTTTCGTAGCCTCTGGGGCTGTTACTTCAACTAGGCTTCTATAGACGACTGCAATGGCTATGACGATGACGACGACGACGTTGGATGCTGCTCCAGCCGCTGTAGCTGCCGGAGAATCACCAGCGATGGCGGTAGTAGTCACTGTTCTTTCCACCGTAACCGGCGGCAGCGGCAGCGGTAGCGGCTGCGGCTGCTGCTGCTGCTGCTGCCGTCGCCGCAGCAGCAGCAGCACAAACAACCACTGGAGAAACATCAACACCAACAACAACGAAACCTTCCGCCATCTTGGTCCGTCGTGGTGCTCCCATGTTCTTCTTTTTCTACCTTTTCTATTCGGCTAACTTCGTCCTTCTCGTTCTCCTCCCCTTTGCCGTCTCGTTCCGTCTCTCGTTCTCTCCCGCTCCCTCCCTTCCTTCCTTTCTCTCGATCTCGTCCTCTCTCTCTCTCTCTCTGTATTCTAGCTGAGCCGAGCTGGCTAGTCAACTGCTGCTGGTGCTGCCCCTTGCAGTGCTCGCTGACAGTCGCTTCTGCTAGTGCCGCTGAAGTTCTTGCTGGTGACTGCTAGCTGGTCGATGGCGCGCTGGTTTGTGCCGAAGGCGCGACGAACGGCCTGCCAAGCAAGGTTGATGCTGTTGAGTGGCTGGTTTGGTCGGCGGTCGTGCTGCCGCCATCGCTGCTGCTGCTGCGGCTGCTGCATGCGTGCGTACGGTTGTGTGCGCTCGCATCTATGTTTACGTGACATAGCAGCGGCTGTACGTTTGTCGCTCCCGCGTACTAGCGTATATAGAAGCGTTTACAAATGTATTTTGTACAGTGTCGGCATAAGCTGCCAATGCCGTCAGAACACTGGCGACGACGGCGCCGCTGCCGATGCTGACAGTGGCCCCGGCAGCTGCGGGAACTGAATAGGGAATGGAGCGCGGTTCACCAGAAATGGTACCAATCGAACGGCCAACAGGGACAACAGACCGAACAAACAAAAAAAAAAGATACAAAAGTTGCCAACAGCATAAAAATATTCTTCGAGGTTTGATTCACTACAACTGAAAATAGGTAAAGACTTCACTACAACTGAAAACAGGTAATTCAGAAAAGTCTTTTTGCCGGTGGATAAACGCCCTCACGCTGGTGAGGGCGGTTAAGAAAAGCACATCCGTGCAGAGACAAAGATCAAGAAATATCGAGAACCAACAAAATCAGCAAAAGCTTTACTTGCAAAGAGACATGAAAGTACACGAAGTAATTTATAGCTAGTTAAATAGTAGACTGTACTAACTGTGATGGTACGACGGGAGAGAAGAAGGGTAGAAAGATAGAATATTTACCTTATATTAAAATAGAGGGGGGTTTTACAATGTTTACACGAATTAGTATCACCAGGATGGATATACAATGGCGTTTACCTAGTGAAGCAGACATAGCTAAAGTTTAGCAAATGCAATACAATACCCTTGCTGCAGTCGCCATTTAGATGAAGTCGAAGGATGCGTAATAACACTATAGCCTTTGCGCGAAAGAATCCTTGTTTTGGGAAACTCTATATAACGAAGTGATGATTCCATACCGAATAATAATTCTGCATTTACCAACGAGCTATTCAAATACGATATCAGCTACCCTGATACGTCATTGATCTTCCCATAGTTTGGAAGTTTTCGTTTTAAATGAAGACATCATTCATGTAAGCGATGTTTTAAAACCTAGAACATATATAGTTACCTGATATCGGCCTGTACTGGAAGAGGATTTAAATCGATTCTTAAAGAATGATTTGATTCTTCTGCTTGCTTTTGTACGGCGGACGCTGCTATAGTCAAAGCATGCGCGACGTAACGTAGCTGTTTATCGAAACTGAAAAATTAATATCAAGCTGTCATAGAAACGTACTCACAATCGTTACGACAAAGAGAGGAGAGTTCCTGCTATTGTTCTCACAACGCGAGACTTAACATGACGACTGAATGTTTTCCTTTCAAATCGAACACTTCAAATTTTTAAAGACTGCGCGCCACTTGATGAGCGCGCGAAATCTTTTACTTGACCCCATAATCCGAATTAGATATATAAATAAATAAGAATAAATGAAAGAGATCGTGTTATAAGATTTGGCAGGATGATTACGATTACCATACAGTCAACGCTAGCAGCTTTAATACAGTGGCACACTTAGCTGGAAATAAAAAAAAAATAAAGTTTATTTCCGAAAAGATTTAGTCGAACCCATTTAAACTACTTATAAAGGAGGGATTACGAGCTGAAGTTCGGTCTAGAACTTTACCAAACGCGCCATGATCCTTCATGTTAAAGAAAATTAGTTGTACTCGTCCAGGTTTCAGCGATAGCCTCAGCGGAGATTTTGCACATATTGCGCTATATCATGAAACTCTATGAAATCATTACGCAGGGATTCCTGATCTTTAGCAATACTTTCGTGACGAAAACAGTTTCTATAAAACCAAGAGTCTAAACAAACCTTCGTGCCTGGGTTACACCAGCAACGAATTGCCAATGCACTGATCATGCGAGTTCTTGATTACCGATAAGAAAAACACAGGACTAAATACGTCTGATGCCTGTACGTATACGGCGATCTTTGATAAACAATTTATGATATTGTCAATCAATACCAAAGAATGTCCAATCGTTGTTGTATCGCGTAGGTCGACTCAAAGGCAATGCTCGAGCTTGGTCCTTCCTGGGAAACAGTGCGTTTATACACATTAGTCAACCTATTATGCGATATATCAGACCTTTTCCTATAGGCAAAGTCGATTGATGTTCTGGCATTTGAGACATTTCTGATGTTCTATCCTAGCACATTTAGCGTGCATAAACATCATTGTGTCGCTGTGTAGCCATACGGGCCAAAATATTACAAGTTTTTTTTTTCGTCAATAATAATCTGCGAATGTTCGCTTTAATAGGCACCTTACGAAATCGATCGAGAACCGCCTCTTACCTTCTCCTTCCCTTTGCCTGATGCGTCTGCTGTAATCTTTCTGTAAGTATGTCTTACACGTCTATCGATCTAGCGGCAGCTCGACAGTGACGATGATGCCTGAAGTTAATAAGTGCCTACTTATCTACCTGTCCGTGAGTTATTTCTCTCGCATGTTCTTTTCGTTCTGTTTTTCTGTATGCCCATGTGCTTTGCTTTTCGGGGCAAAGCAGCGCGTAATCAGATCACTTAGACTATTACAGATAAGTGTAGTAGTAGTTGTAGTCGTTCTGTCTGTGTGGACGGGGCAGAACGTAAGCGTTGCCGGTGGTGATACGAAGACGCACAGAAGACTTTCGTGTGGTACTCAGGTGAACTAACGTTCTTTCTTGCTTTTTGCCGCCCAGAGGGAGGCCCGAACGAGCTGGGAGGCCCGTGGGGGCGAACAGACAGCAGCAGCAGCAGCACAAGAATAACCTAACCAAAGAATAAAACTGGGAACACTGAGTGTGCGTGTGAGAGAGAAGTCGAAAATGAGATGAGTTAACTTAACACAGCTACCACGCAGGTAGGTGTTGCTGGGGCATATATATGCCTTCTGGTTTTTGCGATCCGTTGACAATTAAGAACATAACCCTGCTGGTGGCTCCCAGTGGAACGAGTTCTAGGAAGCCAGGTAAGCAAATCCAGCTACAGAACCCAAGGCAGCCCACACCAAACGGCATTTTGCCCGCGCCACCCCAGCCCGGCCCAACAGCAAAACAAAAGCAGCAAAAACAACAGCCAACTATTTGAGGGAGTAGAGCTAAAAAGCGTCAGACAAGGAACTCTCAGGGGTGACTGTAAATATTTAGCAGAGTCTGTTGTCTCCTTATTTTTCAACACATGAAATCCGATTGCCCTGATTCAGTTATAAGCGAAAGCGGGTCGTTTATCATCAGATTTAAAGCACGGTGGAACTGTAGCAGCGAACAATACGCTGCATATACATATAGGGTCTTCAACTCATAATAGTTCTGCTCTATTTATTCGACTATTGTTTTTTTTTTTTTCGATTCATTTTTTTCTCGATTCGATTCCATTTCTGTTCGTATTCTGTTAATCAAGGTCTGTTTGAGTATAGCAAAGATATGATTCCATACACGAATACAGTCAAACGTACTTATACGAACCAACATAAAGGTGGGTGGTTGTCGGTCAGGGAATGAACCGGCAGACAAACGCATGCTACGTGTATAATTCATACCCTGAAAGACTATTATCTAAAATAAGGGAGCCGGCGTTGTTGTGCAGTGAGATATATACGTGTATTAAATTTGCCCACGAAGCCGTCGTATCCGTGCCTTTACTGTTCTTCCAAAAGCCTTTTTTGTGTCGGCCTATAAAAAGGATAAGTAGTGTGAAAAATGGACAAATTCTTATTTCTGTCGAAGTCGTCTTTTAAACGAACAACTACCTTTATATATATACTTGGCCTATATAGAGCAACTAATAGTGGCACAAGAGAATGCCGTATTCAGGTTCGTAAAGTTGTTTTCCATCGCAGTATTTTCTGAGGAGTTGTTGATATGACTCATTATTGAAGAATACTTCTGAGTTCCAAGAGATATTTTCTTCAAATGTTAGCAAGTAATATTGTTATTGTGATACTGGGATGAAATCTTTTCGGCAGCGTTTCGGACCTCAAGACTATACGAGCTATACGAAAGTCTAGCATGCTTTTGTCATTTAAGCCATAGCAAAAAGTCATAGAGTGCATAGTGTAAGCTCTATAATACAACAAAATCTGAATTATGTGAAGATCCGGACGCAGAACGATCTAAACCCTAAACAGGCCATTGGGTTCAATTTAGAAAAACTTCTCACTTCGAATCGGTTTTACGCTTGTGCGCTTGATTCTATTTACAGCATTGAATTAAGTTTTTATTAGTAACATTTTCTGCGACAACTTTATATTGGTCTGCTGGTTTATAATAACCCTAAAAAAAAAGAAACCAAAGATCAAACTGTAAGTCGCTCAACAGTTTCGTGAGAAACTGAGAACGCGTAACAGCGAAAAGATGAATCTAGCAATCTATAGATGTTGGTTATAAATTACAGTTCGCAGCTGTGATAAAAAAACAAGCAAACCCATTCGATTTCAGAGCGGGTGACCGCGTAATTCTGTCCGTATTTAACTAATAGATAAAAAAAAAAAATAGAGTCAGCTA